GCACACAATTTTAGAGATCATTCTGTTTCTGACTGATTTTTTGAAGGGACATTTTAATGGTTTAACTTTAAGGCATTACAGTAGCTCGCAATTTAAAGATGAAAGCTTCATCTCTTGTACGAAGAAGAACAGTTCTGCAAGACTAGTTTGGTCAGGGATAGACAGCAAATGTCGCTGCCACCTGAATTTTAACCATTCTGCTACTTTAAGTGTCATAACAGCTCATTAGCAACAAACACAGATCATTCCCTGCCTAAAGAGGAGTAGAACACTCCTGACCTGATAACCCTCCTGAATATCTGTGTCCTTACAAAGACAAATCTCCTTAACATCCAACCATCTGAAAGGAGATCACTAAGGGAAAAGTAGCAAGAGGCATTATATAGGCTCTAGTTTCTCTATTAATATTGCACCGACGGTTCAATTACTGACACACTTCTAGACATTCCTGCCCATCCAAATTTCACCAATATTCAACGCAGATATGTTTTTAATGACCGTTCTTACTATGAAGGATACTTATTCTTGTTTAATAAAGTTCTTCAGGGTCCTGTATAGCATATTAGTTTGAGACAACCCTTGCTAACTTGCTCTGAAATGTCTGAAAGTCAATATACTGTTTTCTTCAGAATGTAAGTTTAATTTTTTAAAGCTTCTTACTAAGCCCAAGATCAAAGTTTCCCATTACTATTTTTATCAGATATCATCCCCTCTCATTTCTGCTGCTCCAGTAACCCCATCAGTCCCGCTCTATGAACCCCAAGCCATTAGGTTGGTACGTGGGGGAAACACAGCACCTTGCAGAGAAGAGGTGGTCTTGGCATTGTTCCCATAGTCATCCTTCATGGCATCCATGCTTGGTCTACTCTGGGTTCATTCCAGGGGATTCTTGGCTTTCCAAGAGTTCCTTCTTTCACTGGGAATGCTTAGAGGCAGTTGCAGGTGAGCGTTGTGGGTCACCCCACAGCCTAGTCTGCCCACTGGTTTAATGATAAATATTGGACCACTTTTGGCTCCTGGTGTTTGTCGGGAGGTGACTTATTTGTGCCCACTGTCCATTTAACCACTGTGTCTCATTCTCATTAACCCAGGGTGGCTCCCCACTGTATAGTCATTATACCATTGGCTTCTAAATGTCTGGGACCAGCTGAAAAGTTTCAACTGTTAAATGATCTTTCAGGTGCAAAGTAATTGGCATTTCTACCAGAAATACTATTAAAACCACCATTTAATGTGGTTCTGCAGACCTCCTGGAGACCATATAGCATGGTCTGACTGACCATAAACAGTCTGCTGACTACAGTTTGGGAACAGCAACTTTACATTATATAGATTGCACCTTCGTTTAAATAATATGATAAGAAAAACAGGACACCAAACTTGCCAAACCACAAGTCTGACCCATCATGATAGTTCTTATGTCACTATTCACCCATCCACACTGGTCTGGTGAAGGTTTTCATGCTCTCACTCAAATCCTGAGGCTAGACAGTGTCTGAAAAAAGATTTCTTCCATTTTTTTTCTTAGTTTTGTCATTGGCTTTGTCTTCTTTTTTTGGACAGAGTAAAATACAGTTACAATATTTGACATCAAAACCATTTTCATGTTTATTTGTTAATCCTTTGGGATAGTGCAGAGGGGTTAAAGATGGACACAGGTTAAAAGTTTAGCAGGAATAGTTCCAATGCATTAATGATGCACGTTACTGATGGTACAGAATAATATGAGCAGACACTCAGGTTTCATGAAATTCTCAAGAAGTCCAGTGAGATGCAAGTGGACCATAATATACTTTGAAATTAAGTTATCATCTGAGATGTCATTAACTGTCTCATCAAGAAAAGACATGGCTTTGCCATGGCACGTATCACTGGCTAATACGTACAGTCTCTTTCTGAAATGCCACAAGAGAAAAAGCTTTCATTTTGCCTGTGTAAATTATCTAAGATTTTTCAGGTGATGTCACTGCATAGTTTTTATTTCCTCTCTGCACAACTACCTTTGCATGACTGTGGCAGTTCTGTTAAGTTTCTGCAGCTTTGTGGTGCTTGGTTCTTTAATTTGCTGTACTGTTCTTGCAGAACATGTTTCTTCTAATGCCAGCGATAGTGAAAGTAGCTACAGTAAGTTACTGCTTTCATTAGAGTCCTTTTACTTTGCATTGCTTGTTCTGTTTGTTTCTTTTATTTTGTTTCTCCTCCTTGCTAATCTTTTGTTAATGTTAAAAGGATGGTTGGAGCAAATGGCTTGGAATTCAAATTTACAACCACATCTTGAGTACAAAGCTATAAAAGAAAACTGGCAACCTTTATAAGAAAAGGGAGGAAGGCTGTTATTTGGGATGTATTCTGGGACATAAAACCAAACCTGGCTTTGGGTAGCGTGTGAAAGTCAGGATTCTTTGGTTTAGTGACAAGAAGTTTATTTCAGCAGGGAGGGAGCAGTTTCTTGATGATCTTTTAAGAGTAAAATTACTCCATAACTGTAGTCAAATCTGCAAAAGGCAACCTCTTTACAAGGTCACAATTTTTACTTGCATTTCTGCATGCCTGTATGAAGGGCTAAAGAGTCTCAAAAATTTTGTTGAGCCCTTGATTTTGGCATTACAGATTTCCTAATGCATAATGAGGTCTACAAAAAAAGGTAAGATAGACCTTCACCCCTTAGGCACTGCCACTGAATGTCACCAATTCCCTGTAAGTGGAGGTCCCAACCCTGCAACCTGCTTGGGTGGAATTACAGACTCCATGTGCTCATATAGCCAAGAGGTAGATTGTACATTCTTGGTAATTATTAGCAAATTTAACCAATATAACTATTTTTCTGGAAGTGTTGAAAAG